TGATGGTGGAACATCTTTCTACATCTGATGGTGGAACATCTTTCTACATCTGATGGTGGAACATCTTTCTACAACTTGTAGAGATTGCAAAAAATCTAAAGTTAAATATGTGCAGCATGTAGAGTCTCCATTTTTATTCCAGTATGATATCACCTGTGGACGTTTGGAAAAAAAACTTTTATTTTTCCAATTAAATTTGACAGAAATTCAGCTTTTGTTTCCCCTTTTCTCTGATTTCCGTCATTCTGAGTGTGTCGCAGTGAGCAGAGGTACATTTCTGAGTCCTCTCTCCTGCTAGTCTGGGTTTGTTCTGTTTCCGTCGAGGTGCAGAACTTAATAATGCAGTGAAAACGAGCCCACGGTGAGGAGAAATGTGACAGGAATAATAAACCGTTTGACATTTCAGATAAACTTATGTCAGGACAGCTGAATGGACTTGAAAGGCTTCGCATGATGGATGTTGTACATGCTGCGTCATGGGGTCAAGGAAATGAACGTCTCAACAGATCGGAGCTTTAATACACTTACAGTGACATTTTGTATGGAGACAAACAGTATTAAGATTCTCGGGGTGAAGATTTGTAATTCTAAGTGGACAGAGGATGATTCTGATTGAAGAGGAATGAGTAAATGTACTGACGTGAAGTGACAGTAATGTAGAAATGAAGTGCCTGTTTAAATGAATTCGGGTCTGAGAGGACCGAACGTTGCCGGAGAAAGCTGGTAAATAATTCAGCCTTTGTCTCTCTCTCATCCCTGCAGAACTTGGCTCTGTGCACGGCGTCTCTCATGTACATCCTGAGCAGAGACCGCCTCAACATGGACCTGGACCGCTCCTGCCTGGACCTGATGATCCGGCTGCTGGAGCTGGACCAGGACCAGGGGGGCGGCGCCGCCGTCGTCGTCGTCGACACCACCGTCCAGTTCAGCGCCAGGGAGATCGCCAAGATGAAGGAGAAGATCAGGAAGCTGTGCGACACCGTGCACAACAAGCACCTGGACCTGCAGAACATCACGGTACGGAGCGTCGAAAAAACAAAACACTCGCCGTCATGAAAATTTCACGTCTTCAGCGTTTCCTGGGTTTTTTTTATTTTGAGGGCGGAAAAGCCCCGAAACATTATTCAGGCCGTTGTGCCGCTCGACTGAAACCTCTGACGAATATTCTTTGAGCTGCTCTTCAGTCAGGGTGACTCACAGCCTCCCACATGTGTCAAGATATTTCTAGCAGCTCCAGTGGAGCTGAAGATCTGCCGTGATCTAATCCTGCAACAGTTAATATCAGGCTTCTCACAGTCAAACCGAGAAGGTACAAAAGCACCAGATAAATCTCCTCTTACTGCCCACAATGCATCGCTGCCAAAGTGTGAAGCAGCGCAGATGGAAATGAAACCTGTGAAGTGGTTGATGTAGCTGCGTTTTAACGAGCCCACTCCTGTTTTCCCTGCAGACGGGTCACCTAGCGATGGAGACGCTGCTGTCCTTGACCTCGAAGCGAGCAGGAGACTGGTTCAAAGAGGAGCTGCGGCTACTGGGAGGACTGGACCACATCGTAGATAAAGGTGACTCAGAGTTACAACAGGCAGCCGGACGATGCTCGCCGTCTCTGACTCTCACCTCTTCACTTCTCTGTCCACAGTGAAGGAATGTGTCGATAACTTAAACCAGGAGGACGACAAGGAGAAGCTGGGGTCGGCTCTGTGGGGAGCTGAGAGATGTTTACGGGTGCTGGAGAGTGTAAGTTGAAGCTCGACCAGAGTTTGGAGCTTCACGTCTGTCAGATGTTTGTCAGATGATCGTAAAGTTTGATTGGAACCAACAAGCAGCGCAAACAATTATTAATTTGACCAGAGAGCATGAAGTAACACAGTCTGGTGAATGTTTGTTCATCTGTACGTAGAGACAGAACTAAATGTCGGGAGAGCGACATTAACTGGGTGTAGAACCTTGTTAAAGTGATGAATGATGCAGTTTCTTCATCGGGATCACTCAGCTTTAGTCGCCTAAATAGTTTCAACCTGTGACAGCTTTCGAAACAAACGTTAATTTAACCAACAAAAACCGTGATGAAAATATCCATTGGACAGCTGTTTTTTCACGATGAAAACAAAACTAAAAGTGATATTTCAAAATTAATTACTGTTTAGATAAACAAATAAAATCAGTGACCAGTCGACGTTTTCTCCTCTTGTTCAGTCGATGAATCAGTTTGACGTGTTTTACTTCTGTCAATAAGACGTTTGCCTGTCAGTAATGCAGTTAGTCGTCATTTTAAAGCAACCTGACTTTAACTAAACGAAGCGCTCGAGACAAACGAAAAGTAAGCTAATGTTAACCTAACGCTGCTGACTGTAGTCATCTCCAAAACACAACATTCCTGCACAACTAAAGGGCTTATTTTCTGCCAGATTAGATTTATTATATATCACAAAAACATTTCTAATCAGCCGTTACTTTCTTTTTTTAAACCAAAAATCATATATATGACGGGACGGGGCTCGTCACCTACTTTCCCCAAACCGAACCGAAACGTAGTTTCAACCAAGTTGTCGTTGAGAAAGTGTCGACCAAAGCAAACTCTGTAGTTTTAGTGCTGAAACTGAAAACCGAAAGTAAACGAGTGACAGCAGAGCTTAGGTCGAGGGAAGATGTTCCCACACAGGTTAAGATGCAGTCGCTGGCTTTCGCCTCCTTCCTCCCTCTGCAGACTTTCTTTTAAACTGCAGGACGTTCCCACAAAGTCGCGATCCCACCTTTAAAAAAACACAAGAAACACATGAAACGATGCAGTTCAGTTGCATGTGGATGTAATTTTTAACACGTTAGATGAAAATAACACCAGGAAGTGCGCCGATGATGTAAGAATACTGGAATGTTTTTATGTCCCTAAAACAAATAACTTCATTGTCAAAGTTTAAATCGATCGGATGCAAACTTTTATCATCTTCAACACGTCAAATAAAGCCAGCGTTGGAGCTCACGGTGTTGCGTGTTAACGTGTATTTCTTGTGTCCGTGCAGGTGACGGTCCACAACCCAGAGAACCAGAGCTACCTGATCGCCTACAAGGACTCGTCGCTCATCGTCTCTTCTGCAAAGTGAGTAAACCGTGACTCTGATCCGTGACGAGAGCAGCTTAGAATAGTTTCATCAGACGCCACGTTTGCACTGAATGTTTACTTGTTTTTTTAGCTTTTTTTTTCACTTCAGGTGTTTCAGTGCCTGCAGCACGCAGCTTCGGTATAAACAAAACACATCGACGCGCTTTCACTCCTCACAGCGCAGTCGTCGTCCTTGGTTTGTGCTGCCGCCCGACAAAAGCACCTCGAACCAAACGCGCTTTAGAATTTGACGGTTGAAAGGTCTCAAGGACGCAGCGAGCGCTTCGATTTGTGTTTTATGAAAACTAACAAACGTAAGGATCAGACAGAAGCAGCTTAAATCCAGACATATTGATCTGTTCCTGCAGAACCCCGAAGCGACTCGGCTGAATAACGCCGCTGTGTCTGTCTGTGTCTGTGTATTGTGAGCGCTTATTGTGCGTGCCATCATCGGGGTTTTGTCGCCTCATTTCCTGGTCGTGACACGCTGTCGGCCTCGGCGCTGATCTTTGAGCTCCGACCTCGACCTTCGGCGGAGAGACGAGGAAGCGACCCGAGCCGAACTCTCGCTGCTTTATTTTATTCATTTATTCTTTGCCCTCCGGCGTTTCAGGTGCTGCAAAACAGTCGGGTTTGTTTTATATGTGGTTTTGTTAAAGAAAAAAATCATAAATTCTCAACCACAAGTGCCGAATAAATAAATCAATGAGTTTATTTTGTTCAGGTTTGACAGCTTGACTTGTTAGGATGGACAAGTAATGATTGATAACTATAAAAACAAAAACCGTATCTGGTCATTTTAGCTCGTCTGCAAATGATGTTTACTTTAATTTTAGATTAATCTGTTGATTATTTTCTCCATAAATTGATTTACTTGTGTCAGAAATGGTAAAAAAATGACCATCAGTTATTCAGTTTTTCAGTTTACTGGCATTTAAGAGGAAAGAAACAAGAAAATATTCACATTTAAGAAGCTGCAATCAAAGAATTTATGTTAAAATTTTTAGTTTATTAAATTATCCTGCAATTGATGTTTATTTTGATGATTATTCTCTCAATTAATTGATTTAATTGGTCAGTTCAAGTATCGTTTTTTCAATTATTCAATTTACTGTCACATAAAAGGGAAAGAAACCAGGAAATATTCACATTTAAGAGGCTGCAATCCATGAATTCAGGCTTTTTTCTTGAATGAATACGACTCTAAACCATAAAAAAAAGCTTGTGATGATGTTAAGAGATGCACTTTTACTTCCAAACAACTTGTCATCAACAGCAGTGAACATGTCTGTTATTTTATATAAAAGCCAAACCGCGGTGCTCTGATTATTTAGATCGTCATCAGATTTCTGACTTTTATTTTCATCTAAATCGATTATTTTGTCGATTAATTGATGTCAGAAACTGGTGGAGAAGGTCGGTTAGTGTTTCCTAAAATCCAAGATGACAGATGTTCTGGAGGAGAGAAGAAACCACAAAATCATTTACATTTTAGAAGCTGCAATCAGATCATTTAGACGTTTTTTCTCCTAAAAAAGTGACTCAGAAGAGTTGAGAACTGATGGACTAATCGCTGCAGCTGTCCTCCAAACTAACAGCAGTAAAAACTTCTTTATGAGACAAACCAGAACCACAGTAATTATTGAGATATTAATCAGATTTTTGGTGACATGAAGAATCTGCTGATGCTCAGATGTCTGCATCTGGCTCTGGTGCAAAAGAAAACTACAAATATTTAAATTTGTACTTTTAAGCTGAAGTTTTTTTCCTCATGTGTGTGTTTTTTTTGATGAATTACAGAATTGTTCAGGCTGCGTTTGAGGTCTTTTCTCCCCGAACCGATGAAATAAATCTACATCAGAGCTCCAGACTGCGGTCGTTGTTGGAGACTGTTAAACCTTCTTGTGTTTGTGCTGCAGCAGGAAGCTACGTTTGAGGGATTTAGATATAAAACATCCCGCTTAGAGCTCGTCTCGGCCACAGTTCTGCTATAAAACAGTACAAATCTGCTTCACCTCCTCCTCCTCCTCCTCCTCCTGCGTCGTCCTCTGATTGACCGGACCTTCGCCCTCTGCAGACGCTCTGCATCGGTGCTGGTGGGGGTCGAGGAGGAGGAGGAGGATGATGAAGGCTGAATGGGTCGACAAAGGGCTGCTGTTTGAGTCGGTGGGTGACACAGGCCTCAGTCTGAGCCTTCAGCTGTCCGCTCCGTTAACTCGATTAACCCCCGAAGCCGGCGGGGTGAGCCGGAGAGCGCCGCCACTTAGGTTCTGCACACAAACTAAAGCAGGAACCTAAAGTTTGCGTTGAACCCTCTCTGTGCAGGTTTCTACCTGTAGAGCTTCACCTGTTCCTCACGCCTCCTCCTCTTCCTCCTTCCTCCCTTCCTTCCTTTACGTTCCTGTGTTCGTCAGTCCTCTCCGAGCGTTTCAGCTGTCTGCTCCGCTAATTCAATAAACCTCCAAAGCAGCCGGTTACGCACACAAAACCTCCTTCTGCTGATTGACGAGCTTCATCTGGACCAAGAACCAGATTAGAGGATCCTCAGTTCAGCGGAGGAAAGTTGTGCTGCACAGATGGCTGGACGACAAACCTTTATCCTGAAGCTCCTACATTTGATTGAATTACTGCACAAAGGAAAGCGATGATGCCTCTCATGTGGATCGCTGCGTTGACAGTCTGATCCACGGCGACGTCTGAGGTTAACGAGGGCTCAGTAACGTGCACAAAGTAATTCAGTCTGACTCCCGGTTTCAGTGAGAGTGCTGACTTTGGCTTTTATTTGCACTGAAAACATCTGGAGGATGTGATGTGACACCTCTGTAGCACCACGGCGCTTCGTTTATAACGGTGCGTCGTCACATGTTTCACGTTTATCCAGAAACTGCAGCTCGTACACGCTGAGTTTTCGATATTTTGATTGATTTCTCAGCCTTAGATCCAACTGAAGCGAACTAAAGAAACTCCCAGTTGCTTTTTATTGTTCAACCGATCGATTGGTTGTCGACGACGAGTGACTCCACCTGCTGCAAATTAATTCTAAATTAGCACAAAAAAGTTAACATTTACAGCACATTAAATCATATTGTGGTTATTTTGATTTTTAATTTATTGATCTCTATGAAAGTTTCAAACGCACACGTTCTAAAGCTAAAGCGTTTGTTGGTATAAATTCTGGCTGAAAACTGCTTTTCTTGTTATAAAAGTGTTTTTTTTTTTTTGCTGAGGAAATGTCCGTTTTTAACCAGAAGGAGACTTCTTTAATTAACAAAACAGCAAAAGCGTCTAAAATTCTAATTTACAAGTTGCAGCAGAAAGGGGTTGGATTCAAGATCAATTAGAGTGTTTTTGTCTTTTGGCTGAACGTCTTCTCGTTTCTGTCGTCCTCTGTGACGCCAAACCGAATCAGACGTCATCACGAGGAAGCGCTGCTCAGCATTTCTCACCGTTTTCTGCACATATTTGTTCGATTTTCGTTCATCCTGGCAGTCTGGAGAAGTTCAGATTTGTGAAGCCGGAGTTTGTTCCTCCTGCCACAGAAGACAGGAGGTCGATTTGTTCGCCCCTAAAGCTCCTTGTGTGTTTAGTAGTTGTCACAAAACCCTAAAATTCAGCCGATTAGACACACAAACGAACAAATTAGCTGCATATTTAAATTCTACCTGCTCGTCTGCTCGACATTGACTGTCCTGCACATGCTTCCCATTATTGCTCTTTTCCTGTATTTCCTCCTCCTCGCTGCTCTCTGATATTCAGACTCTGGTTTGTGCTCTGTGTTCAGTCACCGCCGCTGTCATTAGATCTAATTTGGTTATTTACGTCGGGCTGCTGGCCTGCTTTGGCCCTTTGTGCCGCCGCCGCCGCCGCTGCAGCCGGCCTCCGCATAAAGGAGCCGAGTCCTGCTGGGTTTTCATGATGGAGTGGAAGAGGAAGGAGGGGAGTCACGTTCAGACATCTGGATCTGTGACCGGAGGTTCAGATGAATCCACGTGAAAGCGCCGATTGTGTTGTTTTTTTTTTTAAAGAGAAAGTCGTACATGTCTAGAAACACCAGGATTCGATTTGCCAGGAAGTTCGTTGGATGATTTTAGGTTGTGAGCACACAGATCCTCACGTTTGTCCTGATGAATGTGTTTGTACTTTCCCTCGGGGAGCCGCATTACGGTTCTAAACCTGGCTTGTGGTGGTTTCAGGGCTCTGGGGAGGTGCGAGGCGATGATCCAGCGCTACAGCCGCGAGGTCAACTCGGACGGAGCAGTGGTCGGCAAAGCGGTGGAGGACTGCATGAGGGCCATCATCGGAGTCCTGCTCAACCTGACGCACGACAACGGTTGGCGCATTAAAAACACACGTCAAACTCATTTCACTGCAGAGTGGCGCCGGCTCATGAACATGTTTACAAGATGGTTGAACTTGGAAGCTGAGCTTGGATGGATCGCTGAGTGATTACAGGCAGTTAAAGCTGCAAAATATCACAGTACAGCTCAGCTAATGTTATATTTAGCTGCACTCAGATTATCCCAAATGTTTCCAATAATGTTAAACCCCAGAAAAAAACCTCTTTACATTCTGTATTTTCGACTTTTCTGATGGTAAGTTTGCTTGCAGCTGAAAATCTGTCTCATTAGTAAAGGTGGTGAACACTCCCATGATGCTACGCTGCTTTAAGGTGTCACCATGCTACGTTTTTTTTTTGGCTGTTGTTTAGATTGAAACTAAACTGCGTGTTTCTGTTTGCAGAGTGGGGCAGCACGAAGACCGGCGAGCAGGAGGATTTGATAGTGACGGCTCTGAACTGTGTCCTCAAAGTCCCTCAGTATCTCCCTCAGGAGCAGAGGTTCGACATCCGGGTGCTGGTGCGTACATTTTGTCATCCGAAACATTCGCATCCCTTGAATTTCTCACGAGGTCGGAAAGTGATTCTGCGGCGCCTCGCCTCACTTTCCCCGTCTTTAATCTGAAGTGTCGTCTTTGGGTTTTGGAGCCTCATTTCCTTCTTTCATATTCAGATTTTGTCGTGCTTTCCCTCAGAAGCCTGCAGTGTCTCCTGCTGCTTCGGTTTCAGTGTCTCGTAGAAGTTTCCGCTCTCAGATTTGTCCTCAGATCTTAGTCAGAAATCCACAACTAATGAGAATTCCAGCTGAACCCGGTCCAGCGGTGCTCTGTAGCTGCTATCATGTGCAACCGCTGCACTAAAAAATACTGACACTGGTGGATCTATGTTAACTTTAAATCCTACAGGAGAACAGGTGAAGTACGTATAAATAGTCCTGGATCTCATTGGTCAGCATCACGGCTGGCATTTGTTGTGGACTTTTGATCGAATAGTTTCACAAAGTGAACAAGGAGAGCGACGGAAACTGAAGCAACAGAGCAGATTTGTAGCTGAGCAGCAGCTAGCTGGGGTTTGTTCGAAGGAATTACAAATAATTCTGAGCATAAAATATAAAAACATTGCTCTCTGAAACACCACGCTGTTGATTAGAGATGTTAAATTAACACAGATCAAATGAAACTCCACGACCTTCAGTTGTCTTGGTGAGCAAAATAATCTTAAAAACATAATTTCCTCTCAGTTGTTTGAATTGCTCATCGCTGCATAAATATCAGGTCACAGGAACGAGCAGAACCAGAACTTTGTGAAGGTTCTCGTCACATACTTGTAGAAGTAATCGCCGTGTAAATAGAGCGAGATCAACGAGATAATCCTCACTCGATTCTCATTTGAATAAATCATATTTATAACACGCCGTACATCAGAACAAACAGCAGAATTTGCACTTCCTGGTGATGCCAGATGTTCCTCTCCAGCTTCGTCCTCACACAGCTGACATTTCTTCCACTTTGTCTGACAAACAAACACAAAACACTGGATAGGAATGAGTGTGTGCAGGTATTCTAGTGCGTACGAACACTTCAGTGAATAAAACAATGCTGGTTATTTCCATTGGGCACAAATCCTGGTTCTGATTTATCCAGATTCCAGACGACCTCCGCTCCCACCTCATCAAAGTTTATTCTGTGTGAGATACGTGTCAAAACGCAACAGTTTCATCAAATTGAGTGTGTTTTTTCTGGATGTAAAGAGCTAATATAAAGAGTTTTAATAGTCTAGACAAGACAGAGCTGATAAAACTCACAGCGATCAAGACGAGAGCTTTAAAGAGCAAAGGCAGCTCAAAAAACACGTCAGCTGACAAACAGTACAGTCAAACTGAGCTGAAGTCAAAGTTGTGATACAATTCTGCAAAATCAATCACAATAACTGCAGTAACTGTGTCTTTTCCTGACTTTTATTAGATTTTAGTCACTGGTTCGTAGCCGATTCGGAAATCAAAAAGACGTGTAAGAATTCTAAACCTTCTTGTTTAAACTGACTCGTGCGACTGTGTCCGTTCAGGGTCTGGGCCTGCTCATCAACCTGGTGGAGTACAGCTCCAGGAACCGCTACTGTCTGATGGAGATGGAGATGGAGGGAGGCCAGGGTCCCTGCGACTCCACCGTCCTGCTCAGCCCTCAGCACCAGGACCTGGCCAGCACCGGCCCGCTCAGCGCCATCGCCGCTCTCGTGCAGGTAAATCCATCGTTCAGGCCGAATAAAGTCTGAAAGACGTCACGTGGAGCTTCACAAAGGTCGCTTTTAACAGAACGGAGGGAAGCAAATCCTCTCTTTCTGTTTGTTGTTTTGAACTTTTCACGGCTGGCGTGTGGTCAGACGTCCTGCAGATCCTCGTTTTGTTCTACATTTACATAAAACGCGACTTTATTTGCCGTCTAGCTCGCGTACGATCCATCATTTAGTTACTCCGGACTGCAGAACAAGTATTAACTTTATTTTACGCTTCAGTTCACCTAATTATTAAATTTCCGACCGGCTTCTTCCGGCGTCCAGCCATGCAGAGAGTTTTGGTGTTATTCGTTTCTGGTTTGAACATTTCTGCTCCCCCTCCTTCCCTCTGTGACAAATTTCATTTCTGTTGCTCACAGCATCAGATAAGGAGGAAAAAAAGCTGCTCTTTCCTGCAGCGCTCCTCGTCCCACCGCACTCTGCTTAATGAAGCGCAAACAGCGTCGGATTAATTCATGAAGCAGGTGCCGTATACGAAATATTTCGAGCCGACACCGAGCTCACATTTACATTTTAGATAAAAAATTAATAGTCGCACGATCCTCGGTGTTCTCAATTTGTCTGATCTGCGTTTTGTTCTCCGCTGCCGCGGTGCCTCGGCCTCCCTTGAGCGCCGTTCAAGCTTCATTTAAATTGAATCATCCCATCTAATCAGATTTGGATGATCCTCTTATGCAGACCGACTTGCAGCGAGGTCAGCGGCAGGATCTGCAGAAGCAGGCGGGCTGCACGCGGAGACGTTAGAATTACCGGAAAAAGCAATCAAACCCGAGTGCGGAGGTATAAAAGAGAATGGAAATGTTCACTGAGGTGGAGTTTAGGACGAGCAGCAACAGTGTGAACGTTGTGCTGCCTTTTCATTTGGTGCTTGTGCGTGAATTATGACAGACTCCAGCGGTGGACGGATGAAAACATAAAGTGGTGCAGCTCACAGGCGGTGGAGGCGAAATGGGAGGTTTTATTGAAGGCTGATTATCGGTAATCAAGAAAGACCTGCTGGGACTCAATGTGCATTAAATATTAGATATTACCAGCATGTGACGGCAGGAAACTGTCATTCATAACGAGGTTACTTCATTAATAACCGTTATTATTACTGAATATGTGCAGAAGGATCCATTTAGATTGATCGGTTTGTCTCCTGCAGCTCCGTCTGCTGCTCTTCTTCTCTGCTTTCTTACTCTTTCTTGTATTGTCCACTGAGGTCCATATTCTAAAGCATTATAAGGTCTTGTTTTGCAGTTTCAGGGTAATCTGTGGCTGCCTGCTAGCTGCTAGCCGTTAGCCGTTAGCCACTGTGAGGGTTTGTGGAGACGTTTGTGCTTCTTGTTCAGTTTTTGCAGAAACGTTTCTGTCAGTCAATAACAATAATTGATTAGATTTTTATAGCACTTTTCTAACTCAAAGCGCATACACTGTCAGTTATTCATTCACACACATCCATCCTGGTGGTGGTAGCTACAGCTTCACTGACAGAGGCCTGGCTGCCTTTCTGCCCTCCGACCACCTCAAACAATCCATTCATACGCATCCACACCATCCATGTGGTGAAGTGTCTTGCCCAAGGACACGTCGACCATGATGCAGGTTACAGGGCGGAATCGAACCGCCGACCTTCCGATCACTGACCGACCCGCTCTACCACCTGAGCCACAGCCGCCCAGTCAGAGCAGTCCTTAATCTGATTTTAGGAAGATGCTCCAGATAGCTGCAGGCTAAGCGGCACAGCAAGCCTTGTAGTGATAGCATTAGCATAGCACTGTTAGCAAAATGAGTTCAGTTGCACCAACGAGTAAATGTTTCAGGCGTTTTCAGTGTAACGGGAAACGTGTGGTGTTGTTTACAACCTGAGCGCTGTTTTCTACCTCATCTTCCAAACACAGCTCTGCTAATCTACTGGAGCTGCTACGGTTTGCTCCTCGGCTGTGAACGGTCGCTGTTATGGTTGATCAGCTGTTGCTTGTAGGAGTGAACGGTGTGCTGAGGGACGACTTTATGATTTCAACGACATCGCAGAGCAGCAACAGCTTCATCTGATTGGCTCCACGTAGCAGCTAACTGTTAGCGAACTGTAGCAGAGCCGCCGTATCTGATTTATTTCATCAGTGATCGCTGAGTGAAAACAACAAAAGGAATAAGTCGGCGCTGACTTTCCTCCTCCGTCCTCCCCAGCTGTTCCTCCAGCGGGAGCGAGCCGCCGTCCTGGCCGAGGCGCAGACCGATGACCTCATCAAGGAGGCGCCGAAGCCTGCGGCGGACCAGAGCGGCCAGTGGCAGGAGACGGGCGGCGAGATCCAGTGGGTCGCCAACGACAACGACACCGAGAAGCAGGACGACGGCAAGAAGGCGCCGGCGGACGAGGAGGACGAGGAGCTGGACCTAAACAAAGGTGGCCCCTGCTTTTTTATTTACCGTGTATTATTTACCGGGAGGTTTAAGGAACGGAGGAGTAACGAATGTTTGTCGCCCCGCAGCTCTGCAGCACGCAGGGAAGCACATGGAGGACAGCATCGTGGCCTCCTACACGGCACTGCTGCTGGGCTGCCTCTGCCAGGGAAGCCCGGTGAGCGACCCACGGCACAAACACACACATTGGTCTTCACTTTAGGCCCGTTTTTCACTTTAATATAAAGTCCTGCACCTCTACAGAAACAGCACAACCATGACTAGAAAGAGAGACAACACAGAAATGTCTTTGATTTATTTATTTTGCAAAAACTGGGACAAACTACAATCAGCAGGTGTTTGCAGCATGGAGGCTCCACATGCTGCACATGTTGAACTTTTTAATGCAAATGCTACAATCGAGGTAATGTTTGATACGAGGCATGTAGAATGATGAATTATCAGCATTTTAAGCTTATTTTTGGTTTTATTTCCAGAGTTTCTAGATGATAAACTGTGACATTATGGCTTTTTTAAAACTATTTTTCTATAACTCAAAGTGAATCAGAGACCTCTCCATCATCAGGGTGGTAATTCTTTACATGATGAACCTCTGAGGTACACAATCAGACACATGCAGTGCACAGATCATCCACTACAGGTCGTGATTAATGCAGCCGATTGATGTTGCAAAAATGGTAAAAACTCATTCATGCAAAATGATTTTTAAAAACTGTTTCAAAAAATTAGAATTTTCTGGCAGTTCTCTCACGGTTCAGGTTTTACAGGTTCAACACAAATGTCAAGTTTACATCAGAATCAAAGCACAATGCCGTCTTTTTTTCTCATTTATTGTTTTCCTCAGTAGCTCACCTGTATTTTAAATAGAAACACACACACGTTGGTGAATACGAACACATCCAGACCTGGTTTCAATGTGATTTAAGTGTGTTTTTGACCTTTTCTGTGTCTCTCTGCTCCTCCACCAGTTGAATGTGACTACTGTGAGAGAGAACCTTCCTAAAGGAGATTTCTCCATCATGACAGAAATGCTGAAAAAGTTCCTCAACTTCATGAACCTCACCGTGAGTTTTCTCAGCCTTACCTTTTTATCAAGCTGATGTTTTTCAAACCGACTGATAGAAAAGCACAAACTTTTCTACCTATTGAGGGGTTTTTAAACCAAAACATGTCAGGATTTTAATAGAATAAGTCCCGGAGCTTCTAATCAAGCTGTCAGAGGAACACTGAGGCGCCGCGGTTTCCTGCAGAGTTGTCAATTTATTTAACGGCACAAACAAATGTAAGTGATTTTAACAAGAGAACGCATGAGCGAGGGGAGGACAGTCTGACAAAATGTCCTCAGAAACTGTTCATTTACACATTTACCTTAAAAAAAACAAACTGTGAATAAAGTCCACATCAAAAATCTGTGTTTTCACAAACAGGACTTCATTATTTAGCTGTTAAATTACAGTTTTACTGCATTTAAATTAACCAGAGACGGAAATATGTCGCATGTGTGCTGATATTTGAAAGAAAAATGTTTAAATTAATACTGAGAAATGGTCAAATAAAGTTTTGTTGACTTACAGATAACTTTAATTTTTTAGTGTTTTCATTAACATGAGATTAAAGAGTGAAATCTAGTAATTAATGAAGATAATCGACCAAATTAGAGTAAAAATCTGAGCTCAGAAATAAATGACAAGTGAGTTTATGGTAATTTGATCATTAAAATGTCAGCGGTTGTTTTACTATTAATGACTGTAATCTTAGACATTTTCCCTTTTGGGGGTAAAATACAGATAAAAACTTGTAAAATAAGAGAAAAAAATATTTTACACAAACAGACCAAAACTGTCAATATTATCAGAAATCAGTATTTACTGAGAGTAATTCATTGTTTTGCAATA